GCAGTGAATAACAAATTATGGTCGTTTGGCTCAAATGACATTGAGGTATCGGCAATGACGGACCATCCATCAAGATGAGCCAGTTAAAACGAATGCACCGTAGAGAAATATATTACCCGATAGCAATAGAACAAAAGAAGATGAGAAATCAGGACGCTATGCCCAAAACTGTCCTATGAAATAGTTTATTTTACATTCAGAAGGTGCGACTCCATTTTTGCCTCTGAAATAATGTTTTAATCCATCACTTATCTAAGGCTTTTCCATGTGCGTCTTTTAGTTCAGTTCTGAAACTCTTCTAGTTTCAACTACTGTGCTTCCAGTGAGCATGTAAACCAGCCGTTAGTGGCTGTCAACGTCTAAGAGCACTGCGGTATCAGGGGGGTTGCAACGTTAGCCGGAAATCTACGCTGTGCCAATAACATAGAAATGAAATACGATCTCTGCGGCGGAAGAATGTTTGTTTGCATGCGCCACGTTGAACTCAATAGCGCAGTTGATACCTGATTCTTCTATATGTGAAATTAAGCAAATACGGGAAAGTGGCTGCCCATCTGGCATCATGTATTATTTTGAAAATTTCACCGCATGTGTGCAGATGCCATTGCATGCAAAGTCACGCAACTGTATTTGTCATAGTCATCATTTTGGGCAGTCTGCATAAGCAGAACTCTTATTTGTGACGTCAGCTGTATTCACAGATGTTCATGCTTTCTCTATAAGGTACCGGTTACTGAATAATGGAAGGAATAATTGCTCCTGGGAGCATACCTGCTTCTACCTTGTTTCTCCATGTTGGACGTTTGCCTCCTGATCGACGATTGGCCAGGGGTAAATACTTTATGATCAACCAGTTTGTGCAACACAAACTTATATTTTTTAATCTCTACATCTATTGAGGACACTTGTATTCAGAAGGGAACAGAATCATTCCTTATGTTGTCATGCCATTGAACACATACTCAGTAAGTATCGAAGCCAGCGCTGCTGCCTGCAGTCCAACCGTCGCTCTAGCTCTTTCGTTGGAACAACTGTCTCCATGCCGTACAAGAACATGACATATGGAAAGGACATGCGGAATTTTGCCGGAAGGATGCTCACACTGTGCCGCTTCCATCGCCACAGTGCTGAAAGAGCGTAAATACTAACGGCTGTAGATGTAAGTCTCATTGACCGCAGGATGCTAAGACCAGGGTATCGATGGCGACTGCTGCCTCTATGCTTTACATACCACCGACCTGATGCTCGATTTCAGTTTTCTACATTTTTTGCTTCAGTGCCTGTCTGCTTAGCTGCTAGATGTCTGGCGTGTCATTGGGGTGCGGAGAAGGTAACGACCTCAAGGTATGGAGGTTAGCTGCGATAGATACGTCTTTGCGAACAGGCAGCCGTCAGACTACTAAGACATTGCCGGGATTAAGCCCGAAAAATTCCCAGTGCTCAGCGAGAGTCTCAGATAGAGGCACAAGCAACCCGCCTTTTGAAGATCAAAGGCCGCAGATGCCACCGCTGAGTGGCGGTTAGACGTCGGTTTGTCAAAAGCTGGAAGAGCCAATCGATAAAAATCTGGACGAAAATTTGGGATCCGTCTGTACGGAATTCGTCACGCCACCATCAACTCTGCAAGCGGGTGGCAAAACCTCATGCACTCTGACAATACGAATAAAAAGGCCTTAGTACCTTGCACAATATTTCTCAGGGTGGAAGGTCGATATTCGAATGACGTCAGACAGCTAAGAACTCAGTATGGAAGGCCGCCATGTGGCAAATGAACCAGCTCTTCCCTCGCTGCTTACATCCACAACTGCAAAACACTGTTTAGGGAAGAAACTAATTAATGGAGGAAAGGTAGAAAATGGCCTGCGATATCTTTGACTTCTGTAAAGCTGGACGACGAAACCAGGTGAATGGCATCTGGAAAGACGGTAGCTTGAAATGGCTTCAAAGAGGAGAAGGTGCGAAGAATATCGAAAGAATTAGATTAGTAGTCAGCGATAGCTGATCCTTCAAAATTTACTTCCTGTCGTATTAAGTGACAAAGACTGGGCGTGTTGTCCTCCAACTGAACAATACGCGGACCTTGCAGATCGTCTTAACTCATGCTCCCACAGTAAAACTAATGACGAGGAAATGGAAGAATTATGTCAAGAAATAGAACAGGCATTGATGCATAAGCCCTGGTATTCCATTGGTAGACTTCAGTGCCAAAGTTCGACTAGGACAGGCCAGTGAAAAACGATAGTCCGATAGCCTGTTGGTAGATACGACATTGAAGAGCGAAATGAGCACGGAGATTGACTGATTACCCAGCAGAAGCGAAACATCTCTGTATTGGCAACATCTGGTTCAAAAAAAGACCAGCAGCAGGTGGAAATAGATCGCATCCAAAACAGCCACGAAGAACGAGATCGACCTCATCCTGTTCGATAAATGTTGCATCATCCGAGACAAAACAGCTTTGCCATCGATTGATTCCAGCAGTGGCTACAGACGGCGCTAGCCAGGCTAAGCTTCGAGGAGAAGATCGAGAGAAATAAACTGCACACGGCAAATCGCAGATAACGACAGAAGGTATCCGATGTCATGATGCACCAAGCAAGTATCTCCAGCGAAGACTGGAGACTAAGAGGCAATCATTTACAAGACAAGCTGCGAATGCTCAAGGAAACAATGCTGAAGTCAGACTACGAATCAATAGGCCAAAGACCAAGATAGTGCGACGAATGATGTTCCAAAGACCCGGGTAATAACAAACGGTGAAAAGATCAAAGAAGTCAATGAATATCTTTACTTGGGCGATGAGATCAATACCGGCATGATCAGGCTGGGGAGAAACGAAGAAAGAGGATCGGTTGGCGCGCGTTCATTTCAGCAATGATATTCTTTTAGGCAGCATCAGGGAAGAAACCCATACGTGCCTCTTAAATTCTACCGTTTTGCCAGCAATACTGTGTAGCTGTGAGACGTAGTCATTTGCTAGATCCAAGGAGCGGCAGCTGTCTGTCACAGAGAAAGCCAGGGAAAGAAGCCTTTGGAGCCATTAAAGATTTCACGTCGCGACCACATCCTCAACACTGTAGTTAGACAACCGACTTGAGTGAAGGAAATTGTTATCGATGGTAGGGAGAGAGGTTGCAGAGGACCGGATACGTAGCTCTTTTCACCCCGTGGAGATAGTCGGCGTTGAGGGTCTACTTATATCCTCGTGATTAGGCTGCTTGTCGCCCGCTACGGTGGTGAAAAGATTATACCAGGAACCCGGAAGGCCGCGTTGGGAGGAAGAAGGCTAGATATAGCAAGGAATTGCAGATGTGTTGAAACCGGCACGATTCCACGCCGAATACGGGTTGTTCAAGCAAGTCATTCAAAGTCAGATGAATCACTTGGATAAGAAGTTTTCCAGTGATTTGGCTGCGTGAAGAAATACAGCGTAGTTTCAACTGTTCCAGTACAAAACGTTGTGATAACTGGATAATTTTGAAAATTATTATTGGGTAAACTGGATTATTGCAACCTTAGGCAAGATCCATTACGTTAACAGACGTCTAATATGGCATAGGGAGCCTTTCCTGGACGCTTTTCGTTCGTAGTTTGCCGCTCACCACGACGTCAGTGAATACTTTGCTGAAGGGAATTGACCAATTAATTAATTACGCACTGAAACGGAACTCGAACCTTTTGTTTGAAAAACAAAATTTCTTTAATTGCCCATTTGACCAATGCTCAGATACCGTCCTTGTTGTAGTGAGAACATTAGAATCGATTTCAAACATTTTTTGAATATTCACAGACGGTATACTGTAGTCTACACTTTCAATTCGATCGTAGTAAGATAATTGTTATTTTCCCTGTCCACTTCCTGTGTCATCCACACAACGTTGCTTCCGTTTCCTAAACGGCTTCCAGTTCGGAATACAGGCTTCAAATCCTATTTTCTTTATACGTTGTCCATTGGGTTTTAACAACGTCACTAAACCGTTTGTCTGCCATGTATTGTAAAATGGTGAAAACTTTGTAAGATGGGCATTTATGATTTATTTGCTAAGTAGGGAGATTTATGCCAAAGATTTGCAAAATTTCCAGTAGTCTCCCTATCCATCGATACTAGAATGTTTAGAACTACTGTTTAAAAGTTGTTCACTTTACTAATAATTCGCCGTACGTAACCTAAGGTAATTCGTCGATACATCAGATCAAAAATGTATCCGACGCTAATTTTGTGCATTTTGGAACAGCAGGAAAAAGTGAATACATTGAAACCCCTTTAAGAAGCTTCTCACGGGCAGTATCATGATTATTATATGATACAGTGGCAAAAAATTCTTTATGACCAAAAGAAACAAGAATTTAGAAATGAAATATCATTAATTGAATATTGCAAAGATCTTGTAATTGTTTGCACATAAGCAAGCTTGCAGAACATAGCAATGTTCCTTTGTTTTGGGTTTTGGAAACTCTGCTGTTATACAAGATTATTAAACTATTTTGACAGGTGTTTGAATGGATTACGGGGCACCAAATACAACAGATGTTAAAACAATTTACTGCTGACGCGTTTCGCCACATTGACCATAACACCATCAGGGCTAGCCCTACTTACAACCATCTGTTGTACTTTGTGCCCTGAACCATGAATCATGCAAACACCCATGTATGCAACCATCGGCCCAGAATCAAAAGCCGCAAGTGTAAATCATTAAGCTTTTCTATTAGATTTGAACCGTGATTAATGTCTGGACTGGTATTGCATACTATCGCTGCAAGAATACGTCTTACGGAAGTATTTAAAGAATTATGATTAGTACGAGAGGAAATTTAGCATAATGGGGTCTTCTCACGCGGATTGTGCTGCACCGATATGTTGATATTCTTCAGTTCTGATTACGTTTCACTCGCATTAAAATATTGTAAAGGTTAATAGGACTTGTTGCCTGATCTGCTATGGGTTGTTCGCTCAATGTAGCAGTGTAAACGTTCGTTAGAGAAAGGTCCGGACGTTATGGTGACCTGAACGTGATGAAGCGCACACGTTCACGCGTTGTCTTCATACTGTAAAGATAAAAGGCACGGTTTATGCATCGTTTCAAAAAGGCTCTGATTCATTGGACAGGATATGAATTGACAATGAAAGTCCATTGGTGGCGTTGCGTTTCGAATAGCGAAGAGTTTCACTTGTGCATTGGCTAATTGTTTAGGTATGGTTTCAAAATGCTCGAGCGAAGTATCGCCGGTCATTGCACGTTACCAGCTCGTCTTCGACAAGCGACAGAAACTTTGTGAACGCTTTCTCGCCAACCAACTTTGTCTCGGATGCGGCATCCGACTTTGTGGGGGAGTCCTCTTCAGCGGCGGTGGTGAAGGGTGGTTTGCGGCACTGCATGTCATTCTCAGACGACAGTGATGCGAATATCGAAATCTACGGCGGTTCGAACTCTGGAAGTGAGCGCTGTGGGTCGAGCTGAGTGATGGAAAGTGATGGATTCCCCTTCGCCCTGTTCCTACAGCAGGGAGCTGCTACGACGAAAGGAAACGTTTGTGCGAAGGGCATCGAGTGACTCGTTGCCCATCCGTCTCGGTCTTAAATGCTAGATTCTTCGTGAAAGTGACTTTGCGATATGCATCTGTGTTTCGTTCGATGTGTTTTTGCCATTTGTCTGCATCTGCGCTTCAATGTTCGATGATCCTGTAAAGATCTCAAATAAAACAGAGGGCACTGCTGTGAATGAATCGATGTGTAGTCAACACTTACGACGATAACGTTCCAGTTCATTTCTTCAACTATCATTCGAAAAATTAATCTCAAGCTCTTCAACGAAGTGCCAGAAGCACAAACACTTTTGAAATATAACGAAACAGCAGCCATTAAAGTACTTTCAGCTGCTCACCAGCTATGGATGTGTGGATTGTTGATTGCCATGAATGAAGATATCGGCATGGAAGCTCATCGGAGCAACGTCTGATTGTTCTTTGATATACTGTGAAAGCACGAACGACTTCGATCAAAGCGATGAAAGTCGCGTCGGCGTTAAGAAAGTAGTCAAAGGCTCACCAATGCAACGTATGTTGGACTAACGTGACCTTCGCGCAAGTGTGAAGCAACAGCCAAATATATATTCCCTCACAAGAATCATATGCAAATGGTTGCACTTTATGTTCAGAGAACTGTATCATTTACTGAAGACTCGTAATCTTTCTTCCATACTTTCGGTATCATCCCATGTAAAAGCGAGTCCTACATCGTACTTTTTGATCAAGACCACTCCTTACCAGATGTAGAACCAAATGATTTTACAGGCTTGAATATAAACAGCTTCTCACTATTGCAGAACCTTTTCTTTATCGATATAAAGCGGTTTCACTCCTGCATTGGACATTCACTTACTGCACCAAGGCTGCCATTATTCGTGAATGCTATCCC